CCTGAGACCCCCGGGGTGGGGGCGCCCAGCCCGTCCTTGACTGTTCCTGGGCAGGGATGGGGCAGGGGATCCCCTTCCAGCGAGGGGCTGGCACGGCTACTGCGCGGGGCAGAGGCCCGCAAACTCCTCTGGACCTCTGGGGATGGTTCTTTCCCGGGTGTGCTCGTAGCTGCCCATGGCCGGGATTGCAGCACGCTGGGCGGAAAAGCCTCCTTTCCCAAACTGACGTAGCCAGTGCATCATCTCTCAAGAGCCCCGAGGAGGCAGGGGAGTGAAGAGGCTGGTAGGAGCAAGGGCTGTGGGAAGGTGAGAGGGACAAGCCAAGCTGGGCTGGATCACCCACCAGCATTGCCCAGCACCAGCTCTCCTGGGCCTGCTGTGAGAGTTCTGCTGGGACCATCTGGGGGCCCTTTGCTGCTGTAAAACAGTTTTGCAAGATGCCTGTGCTCATTAATTTTAATGAGGTCTGTCTTCCTAGGCTGAAAGACTCTGGGGAGCATGAGGAAAAGGCACAAGATCAAGCCTTGCCACAGTTGTGCCTGGGGAGGAGTGGGACAGCTGTGGGGGCTCTGCAGGTGCCCAGTTGTGGCTGTCTCACGTGGTATCTGGGCGCTGCAGGCATCTGCAAACTCTTGATAGGGCCCTATCGGTGTCGGGGCGGGTTCAAGTCCTCCTGCCCGGGGTACAGGTGGCTCAGGACTTCATTCCTGGAGGGGATTCCTCCCCGGCATCGGGGAGCAGAGCCCCAGGGATGACAGATGGGGAGACCACACGGTGCTGCATGCCGGTGTGGAGCCTGCTGGCTGGCGTCCCCAGTCTTCGCCTCTCTCTGCCTTGCAGCATCTCTGCCCTTCGTCATCCTGACACTGGTGAACTCCCCGTACAAGCGAGGCTTCTACTGCAGTGATGATTCCATCCGCTACCCCTACAAGGCAGACACCATCACCCACGGTCTCATGGCTGGGGTCACGATCACCTGCACTGTTGTTGTTGTAAGGATGTGCCACCCCCTTCTCTCCAGGGCAGGGACATCCTGACGTTGTATTTGGAAGCTGGGGCCCAGCACAGCCACCTCCAGAGCCCTGGCAGGGCAGCAGGACCCTCAGCTTAAGCGCTGCTCTGCTGGGGGTCAGGAGCTCCCATTGGGGTGGCGAGACCCACATCCTGTAGAGCTGGTTCCCTGAAGGGACAGGGAGAGGGTCCATGAGCTCCTGTGGCAGGCAGATGCCAGGGGCTCCTCTGCCACAGAGCCAAGAGCCAGAGCATCCTGCAGCCCTGGTTCTGGGGAGCTACTCAGTAGTGCTCAAACCTCACCCCTTGCCCCCTGGTCTCTGCAGATCTCATCGGGGGAGGCATACCTGGTTTACACTGAGCGCCTCTACTCCAAGTCAGAGTTCAACAACTACCTGGCTGCCCTCTACAAGGTGGTGGGGACCTTTCTCTTTGGGGGGGCCATCAGCCAGTCCCTGACTGATCTGGCCAAATACATGATCGGCCGTCTCCGGCCAAACTTCCTGGCTGTCTGCAATCCTGACTGGTCCAAGGTGAACTGCTCCATCTATGTGCAGCTGGAGAATGTCTGCCAGGGAGAGAGCAGGAACATCACCGAGTCCAGGTGAGCTGTCGGGCCACAGGACCTCATCTCCTCCCTCTGCCAAGCAATGCTGGGCTCCCAGTGGCAGCCCCAGATGAGTATTGATGCTCTCCTGCTGCACGGCAGAGCCTGTGGAGTGGCTAGGGGGCTTGTGGGGGCTGGCTAAGGGCTTGTTCTCATGACCTGACCCATTCCTTTTGCCCCACAGACTGTCCTTCTACTCGGGACACTCCTCCTTTGGGATGTACTGCATGATGTTCTTGGCGGTAAGTGCCGTGCCACCGGAAGGCAGCCAGCCCCCACGGGTCCCGTGCCCCAAGCACCCCGTTATCAGGCTAGTTGTTGCCCCCTGCTCTGGGTGATTGCTCCCGTCTTTGCTCCCCAGCTCTATGTGCAAGCCCGGCTGGTGGGAAAGTGGGCCCGGCTGCTGCGTCCCACCATCCAGTTCTTCCTCATCACCTTCGCCATCTATGTGGGCTACACCAGGGTGTCCGACTACAAGCACCACTGGAGCGACGTGCTGGTGGGGCTGCTCCAAGGGGCTCTCATTGCCGTCCTCATTGTGAGTGTCCCCCGTGCAACCTGCTGCTTGACCAGGTTCCTGCTCGGCTGACAGAGGGGTCCCCAAACCTTCCTGTTGGTCTTTTTCAGGTCCGCTACGTCTCTGACTTCTTCAAGCACCGTCCCCCCCGGCAGTGTGAGGAGAAGGACCCGGAGCGCAAGCCCAGCCTGCCGCTCACCCTGAGCGACCCCGACCACAATCACTACAGCTACCGCGGCGCCCCGTGAGCCGCGCACGGCCCGCGCACGCCGGACTGCAGACCTGCCCCTTGCCGTGCTCTGCTCCTGGCTCAGGGATGGGGATGCTGGCTCTCTATTAACTGTTGGCTCCGTGGCTCTGGTGCCTCTGGCTGCCACAGGTGCCAGCGGGACAGCCCTGCCTGTTCCCACTCCCGCAGTGCCGTGGTGCCCAGCTCCCCATGCCCACAGTGCTGCTGTGCTTGCCGGTACCTGGTGATGCCAGTGCCCTGCCTGTGGGAAGGGGATGTCCTCAACCCCTGTGCATCTGAGTCATGCTCCAAAGCTGCTGTCCCAGCCTTCCACGTGGAGGAAGGGGAGGGAGGGGAGGGTGGCATGTGAGGATGGATTTATTGGGCTGGCAAAGCTCACTGAGCGAAGAGCAAACTCCTTGGCAAGTCTGAGTTTGCCTGTGCTGAGTGTGTGTTGTCCCTGTCAAATTATCCAGCCTTCTGAGTACAAATCCTCACAGGCACAGAGAGAGGAGGACAACTACTGGGCTAGCTGTACTTTTTTGGAAAGGATTAAAGCAATCCAGAGCTTTTCTTTGTTCCATTGGTTACCTTCAAGAGCAGTCCTGCCCACCAGCAGCTGGTGCGAGCAATGGGTGCCTGGGCAGGCTCTTCTCTGGCAGTGCCTGATGCTGCAGTCCTGGGTGTGAGGGCTATTTGCCCCCCGCCTGCTTCATGCCTGGCTTGGGCAAGGGGTTGCTCTGGCCTTTGTCGCTCCTGCAGCTTCAGCTGATGCTTTAGGGTGTGTGGGGGACTAGGGAGACACTTTCTGTGGTAAAGGAAAATAAATGGGGATGTGGAGCTGAACACGGGAAGGGGGGGCAATGGGTATGGAGCAGTCCCATTGCAGACATGCAGCTGCCTCCAGCACTGGAGTGCTGTGGGTCTCTCTTTAAAATACATGCATTTTCATTATGATGTGTTTTTATAAAAATGTTTATAATTAGATCATCCTTAAAGAATGTCTGTGTCAAGCCTGTTCTCTTACTCCATGGATGTTCTTGGCCTTGGAGGATGAGCTTAAGTGTTCAGGGTTTTCTTTTCCAAGGGAAAGGTGTCTGAAGCCCCTCTTTAGCCGTAGGTTTGCTGGCAGGTGGTGGTGGCTGTCAGGACCACTAAGCCCCTCTCCCACTTGTGCTGTGAAAGGTGGGCTTGACCAGGGCTGATGGGAGCAGCAGCCTCCCAGGGCCAGGTGCTCCTTGCCCATGCTGTGCCTGTGATGTATTGCATTCAGGGGGGTTGTGCTTCAGCCAGGCAGCCCCTTTGAGAGGTAAGAAGAGACGCAGCCAGCAAGTGGCTCCAAGACCCATCCCTGCCAGGTCTGTCCTGGCACTGCCTTTACCCTGACCCAGGAACCTCCTGTGCTCCCCAGAAACATGGCCCTGCTTGCAAGGGAGGAGGGAAGGCAGGGAAAGGCTCTTGGAAAAAGTGATGTTTTGTGCCTGCAGCTCCTGCAGCCAGAGCTGAGGGAAGGCAGGGAGCCAAGAGCCTTGGCACAGCTGCCTCATGTCCCTCCACTGTCCAAGGGTTGTGGTGGGGACAGGTGACAGGGCCAGGCTGGGGAGCTGGTGGGCATAGGGCCCTCTGACTGTTGGGAAGCAATAGGGGACATTGGGAAGCAGCACCCTGGAAGCCTCAGGGTCTACCCAGTCCCTTTGGCAGTGGGATGACCAGTCCGGGGGTCGGCTCTTGCCCACCCTTGTTGAGTGCAGCCTGTCTGTCCTGTTGGGAACAGTAGGGAGCCCCATACTGACTGCATGGTGTCGATGTGCTTGCGCAGTGTGGGTGACTCCAGTCTAGACAAGCCCTGACCAAAAACACCCTCCCTGTGTGGAGGGAACTCCCTTTCCCCAACATTGCTTTTCTGTTTTCCTCCCAGAGCTTTCCTTCCAAAAGTCCTTCCCTGCTCCCCAGCAGGGTCCTTCCCCGATCCCAGCCCTCGGGGCCAGTTGTTTAATATCTGATGGTGTAAAACAAAGCTGGAGGAAGTGCCAGGGCAGGGCAGCTCTGCCACAGAGTTTACAGACAGAGCTCTACAAAGGCTCAGCAGCTCCTGGAGTTGGGCAGTGAGGTACAGCCCAGGTTTTTGAGCTGCCTGCTTAGTTTGCATTTGGCCTGCTGCGGTGCCCAGCAACTACCCCAGTTCCTGGCACTGCCTCGACAGCTCCTCTGTGCAGTCAGGAACAGGCCTGCTCCCTTCCCTTGAGATCTGATTTCTCCCCTTGGATGCATCTCTGGAAAAACCAGCTGGGCCACAATGCTGCAGTGTGTGGCTCCGAAGGGCAGGGCCAGCTGCTTCGTGTTGGGAGCTTGGTTGCTCCGTCCCCAGGCGGATGAGGCTGCCTGCCTGCTCACAGCTGGGTCCCGCTGTGGGATGGGCTGAGACCTGACCAAACTTGGGGCATGCCAAGCCACACATAACCTGCAGTTGGTGGAAGCTCCTGAGCCATGTCCAGGCACAGCAAGGGGCTGTTAACTGCAGCCTGCTCCAGGTGTGCTTCCTGGCCCCTCTCTGGAAGGACAGGGGCAGGGAGCTGCCTGTGCTGGCTCCTCAGCACCATGGGTGCCAGCAGGGCACTGAGGAAGACAAAGCAAATCCAGTTTCTGGCTGTGAAGTCTGGGTTCCCTCCAGCCCTTGCTAGCCCTGGTCATGTCTGAATGCCACTGCACCCTGCCAGTGCTGTTCCAGATCTGGGCTGGACCCCATTGCCTCGAGTCCCTCAGTCTGAGCAGTCGGAGGGACTGGGCTCCCTGAGGGGCTGGTACTGCTCCTGGGAGCTGAGGAGAGGGAAAGCAGCATCCAGGGGTGGGGTTAAGCCCATGTGTCTCTCTTTCTCTGTTCAAGGCTTGAGCTTGTACTTGGCCCCATGGGTCAGAGCTAGTGAGAGCTCTGTGCGTCTGCTTGGTGAGTCCCAGGCAGTCCCTCTGGTGTTCGGGGTGAGTTGTGGCCCTGGGCATTGTGACAGTTTGTGACTGGGACGTCCAAACCCCTTTGCAATGGGTGACTCAGGAGTTGGGGATCCAGTCCTGGTTGTGCTGGGGCAGATTCAGCTGAGGGCTGAAGCCAAGCAGCGTTAGCCTGCGAGGCATGGCTGGGACCTGATGAGGCAGCCGTCCTGTTCCCCAGCATCAGCAGCTCCACACACCAAGTGCTCTGCCAAGATGCCTGCTTTCCAAAATAAGCTGCTTCTGGCAGCACTCAGCCAGGCTCTGGCTTCCAGCCCTGCTCCAGAGGGGGCCTGTAGCTGCCTCCCCCAACCTGTGCCTCCTGGCTGCCTCCCACCATGCCACGCAGCATCCTCCCTCCCTTCTCCCTGGCACCTGGCACTCCTGTGGATTCCATGGGCTTCGGTTGCCCTGGCCCCAACCCCAGGTTTCTTCCCGCTCTTTGCTTTTTTCACCGGCTAAGAGGGGCAAGAGACGGGCAAAGGGGCTGAGCTCCTCTGTGTCTGCAGCAGCTTCCAGGAGCGGGCAGCGGCCCTGCCAGGAAGGATGTTACTCATTCCCTAAACATCCCTTTCCCTGGCCGGCGGCCACGCCAGATGCGCCTGTGGCTGAGGGGCCTGAGGTGGCCCCGGCTCAGGGATGCGCTGGGGGACACCGAGGCCGTGGCACCCTCGGGTGGGATGTTGGCAGCCCCTGCCCGAGCGCAGCCCACACCACGTAGGCCTCTCCTCCCCCTCAGCAGGGCGAGTCACGGAGGGGGAGTGGTGCCGGGGCCAGGACCCCCAGAGGTGGCAACTC